ACATGTCCAAAGGATGTCAGGTGAAACCCCAGAATCCTTGCCTCCAAGGAGTAGCCTGGTTTAACCCTCTCTAGGATGAATCTGTTTGTTTTCTTGGCAGTTCATGGTACACTCAATACTCTTCTCCAGCCCCACAGCTCAAATTCATCAATTTTCCTTCTATCCTCCCTAGTCATTGTCCAACTCTCTGATGCATAACAAGTGATTGCAAAAACCATGGCCTGTGTCAGGCAGACCTTAGTTTCCAGAGAGACACCGTTGCTCTTGAGTACTTTAGAGAGGTCCCTGACAGCAGAATAGCTATTTAAAAAATCAGCTTCTGAAAACCATAAGGAATACATTTCTGCTCTGATACACAGGGGTCTCCAGGAACTGGAATCAACTTGAAAACAACTAGTTTTTTCTTCCTTCCCTCCATTTCCTCCATTCTTGTCCTGACCTGTGGTTGGCACAATAAGGAGTGGAGTAGGTGTGTTCTCGTTCTCAAGAATCTCGTAGTTTAATTGGAGAAGATATAGGGCCTGGTCTCCCTTCTAGGTGACATCAGGGCTGGGCAAAAGGAGGACCTGCTGAGCATGCCATTCCCTTTAGGACAAGACAGAGACTCAGTCCCAGGTACAGGCCTGACTCTAACTGGACATCCCCCTGTCCCTAGTGCTGTGTGGGCCCCCTCCAGCCGTAGAGAATGCCTCGCTCATCGGTACGCACAAGGCTAAGTACAATGTCCACGCCACCGTCCGCTACCAGTGTGATGAAGGGTTTGCCCAGCATCACGTGGCCACCATTCGTTGCCGGGGCAACGGCAAATGGGATAGACCTCAGATCGTCTGCACCAAACGTAAGTGGACCCTCAGGCCCCCAATACAGCTGTCTAGCTATTTGTTGTCAGTTAAGCTTGGGTTGACCCCAGCTGCTGACTTCTCTGTGTACAGCGTGCCCAGCCCTGTATTCCCATGACCACCAGTTGTGGGGCTGACCACTGGGGGCCATAGCTGGTTTTCAGAAGCAGTTTACCAGGCTTTTCTTTGCAGACCATCTTAGTCTGCTAAGTCTCTTCAGCATCATGATAACACACAAGCCTCCAGTGGCAGATGGGTGGTCAGTGGCAGATGGGTGGTCAGTGGCAGATGGGTGGTCAGTGGCAGATGGGTGGTGGAATCAAACCCAGGTCTCCCATCTGGAAGCCACCAGCTGTGTGTAGTGTCTGATGAAAACATCTTGTTAGTTTGCACATTGATCCTGTGATCCAGCCTTTCAGATGAGTGAGAGTTTACCAGCTTGCCTAAACTCTTTTTCCACTTTCCCTCCCCCTTTCAGGGGGCTTTCTTCTTCAAGCCACCCCTTCTCACCACACTTCTCCCCTTCGCTGCCCTACAGCCCGACGGTACCATCGCATGCGGCGACACCACCATCACCATCAACACCACCATCAACACCATCACCACAAACCACACAAGGAGCGCAGAAAACACAAGATGCACCCTGCGGAGGACGGGGAGAAGGAAGAAGGGAATTTCTGCTGAGAATCTAGGCAAAAGAAAGCACAGCCACCCTCCCACGCCTCCTCTAGAGCCTTCATCTGGGGAGACAAGAGCCCAGAGAGAAACAAGAGGGTCTGGATGTCCCTGAGCCCCAAACCACATCACCCACCCCCCACATAAATCCTTTGTAAAAAGCTCCTCTTTCCTCCTCCTTACATACACAAGGTCCTCTTGGCAGGTGTCTGAAAAGTCAGTTCTCATCAGTCTGAATTCCGGGAGTCTCCCAGCAGAGGGAAGCACAATCAGCAAATTCTAGCCTTTGCACCAGTTTTGTCTTTTGTTTGCCAGGTCGATGGCCAGTTATTGAGATAAGGCTTTGATGAGGGTCCAGGAGAGTGTGTTTGAATTCTCATGAAGGAATTGCTATTCACACCAGATATTCAGGCTCAGTAAACCAATGGATATCCTCACTTGAGGCTGAAGCCTTTATTTAAAGTCATTGGCTTTGGGAGTAGAAGACTGAGCTGAAGCACACTGCAGGGACGTGACAGCTGCTCCTTCCTGCAGGAAGGACTCTGGCTGTGGTTCAGGTTTTGGTCTTGGTGGATGAAGGTAGTGTGGCATTGCCACATGCTGAATTTTAGGCCTGTTTTTTAGAACAGCCTCTCTCTGTGCCCTCAGAATTAGAGGTCTGAAAATCAGCAAATATATAGCAATAGAGGGGTGGGGTGTGCTGCTCACCCTCCCAGGTCTCGTCTAGTGTAGAGATGTGGGGGTTCTGCGTGTGTGTGAGTCACACACACAAATGAGAGGATATTTGGGGCTTGAGATGCCCTGATTTCTTCCCTTTCCATCTCTCAGGGAGACAAAGAGCCTCTTTCCTGGACTAAGGAGGTACCAAGCTTTCTAGCCCAATTCCTGTGCCCACCTCTCAAACAAAACAGTGGTGGTGCCCCTAACCTGAACCCAGCTCACATCTCCAACCCATCCTCCCTATCTCCAGCTGTTAACTGGCGGATCAGAAATGCTTGGAACTTGAGAGAAGTGTGCGGCGTTCAAACTCAAACATACATGCACGTGTTCCTCTCAGATTTTAGGAGAGAAAGAACTCTTGCTTCTGTCCTCAAATCCAGAACCTGTCAAAAGCTACCCCCAGCCTGAGACCAGGGTCCAGCTGTAATAGTTTTAGGAAAGATCTATGTTTTTCCTCCATGCCCAAGTGAAATATGTGAATTAGCATTGAAAACTACAATGGAGAATAGCCCTCTGCAAGAAAGAAAAACAAGCCAATCTCTGAAGGGCTCAGTAGAGAAATGACTGTGTTGACTGAGCCTGTATCCCTCCTGAGAAATAATCCTAGTCGTCAACTACGAGTTGGTGCCGACTCGACACATTATCTCCTTGAATCATCTTAACAGACCAGTGACTTGGGAACCATCATTTTCCTATTTTACACACAAAGAAACTGAGGCCTCTCTGTCTAATGCAAAGCACTGCTCTACATCAGGGAAGGGATTAGAACATGATCTCACTCTTTCTCCTACAACCAGACAGACTGAAGTGCAGCTTGGACCCTCGTATTTGACCGACACCTTCAGTCTTCCCTGCTCTAGACCTTCTCCACCATATGGTTATTGTTGAGAAACCCCAGGGATATAGGTTTTGTCTTCTTACTTTGATAATGCTACTTGGTTTTAAAAGAGATACAATAATAATAATAGTAGTAATAACAATAACAGCACATCTTTGATCATACATGTCACAAAAGAATTTTCCTTTGTTTGGGGGGGGCTGGGGAGGAGGCAGTTTAGGGGGAGTGGCTTGGCTAATGCCCTTGTCCCCCTTGACCTACCCCACCCCACTCCATGACGGGAGGGTGCTCTGGTCTTTTTTAAAGTGGGTGGTTTGTCTTTTGATCTTTGATTTTGGGATGTGTGTGTGCTGTGTGTGTTTCTGCGTGTGCCATGTGCGTGGCATGCGTGAGTATGTGTGTGTGTGTGTGTGAACAGCCTTGAGTTCTGCTGATTTTGCTGTGAGCTGCAGTGTTCCGTGGGTCTGTGGTTTCTGACACTGTGGACATTAATGTACTTCTTGGACATTTTAATAAAATTTTTTAACAGTTCAACCTACCTTTTAACTTCTAGTCACTTTCATTCACTCATTCTCTCAGGAAAGCTTAGGAAGAAGTGGTGAGCCATATATTGAACTGGGTTGTTGCTATTAAGTGCCGTTGAGAACTGGGTTGTTGTTGTTACGTGCCGTCAAGTCGCAGGTGACTCGTAGCGACCCTATGAACGAAAGTCCTGGACACCTGTATAACTTTCATCCTCTCTCCAGGTTCGTGGGGTTTCCAGAGGCAAGCTATTATGAAGTGATGTACGAGGGTATAATGGTAAACAGGGTAGATATGATCCTGTGGGTGGTCAGTAAAGACTTCCTAAAGGAGGTGATGGTGAGTGGATCTAAAGGAGTCAAAATTGGCAAGGAGAGGAAGAAAGGGAGGGTTTTAAGCAGAGGAATGAGCCAAGACAGAATGATAGCTCATTTGAGAAACAGCAATGATCCATTAGGACTAGAGCAGAGTGAGTGAAGCAGAAAGTGGAGGGAGGTGAGGTCAGAGAGACAGGTGATGGACTGGCGGGGCTATTTGGACTCTAATGAGGAGTTTGGGCACTATGCTAAAAGAAATGGTAGCAGGAGACATCATGTTGTTGTGTGCCATCAAGTCAAAACCAACCTATAGCTGACCCTCCAGTGGATTTGGAGGATAGGAAGAGACTGCCCATCTTTCTCCCGTAAAGCATCTTGTGGATCCAAGCCATATGCCTTTGGAATTGGAGTACCATTTCTTACCACTATGCCACCAGAGCTCCCTAGAAAACATCAAAGGCCAGGTCAAAAGGTAATGCCAAATCCGTTAACAAGGGGAGCTCTGGTGGCCTAGTGGCAAGAAGCTGCACTGCAATCTCAGAGGAACACGGTTCGAATCCACCAGATGCTCTGCCGGAGAAGGAGGAGCAATATCCTCCTGTACCAGTCAGATCTGATTTGACGGTACACGCACACAAAACAATAAAAAATAAAAAAAATCTGTTAACAATTATTCAAATCAGAGCTAGATAATTAGCTGCCTTAATATATAAAGAGCATCTACAAATAACTAAGGGAGAGGGAAAGGTTAAAAACTAGAAATCAAATGAGGAAAGAGTACAAATAAAAAGTTTATAGACAGGAGATACAGATGGCTCTTAAACAAAACATATGCTCAATAAAATAATACATGTTCTTTTAAGAATGCCAGGATAAATAAGTGAATAGAAACAAAACAAGATAAATCTAACGTGAGAGACCTCATATAATAAATGATGGCAATATGCCTGAACTGAGAATAGTTTATGATTTACTCAATTCTTGTTCTTAAGATCAGAGTGCAGTGTGGGGGAGGGAGGGAGATGTCCAAATTTACAGATAAGAGTGACAAATGACAACCACATTGAGGTATCATTTTTCATGTGTCAGTTTGGCGTCATAAAGTCTTTACACACTATGATAATGAGGTTGTGGGGAAACACTAGTGATAGGGGTATAAATTGGTCTCATCATTAAAATTTCATTTGGAGATCCCTGTGTTGTTGCCAGCTGCCTTCAGGATGGCCCTCAAATCATGGCAAACCCATCCATGACAAGACAAAAATGCTGCTCCTTGCTGCACTATCACTATCATTAGTTTCAATCAAGCCACTGTGATCCACAGATTTTCATTAGATGATTTTCAGACGATCACCAAAGCCTTTCTTCCTCATCTTTGTCTAGAAGCTTCATTGAAACCTGCTCAGCATCATAGCAATGCACAAGCCTCTATGAACAGATTACTAGTTGTTGTGTAGTAGTTGTGTGTTGTCGAGTCAGAACCAACCCACAGAGAAGGAGTTTGCCCATTCTCCTGTGGAGCAATTAGTGGATTCAAAGTTCATGCCTTTGGGATTGCAATCCAACATTTTATCACTAGGCCACCAGAGCTCCATAGAATAGATGGGTGGGTGTCTGCCAATGAGATGCATCGGCTAGGGCTTGAACAGAATCTCACCACGTGGAGGGAGCATTCGACCACTGAACCAACATACTTGCAGCGCCATATCACAGCTGGACGGCTTACAAGAATAGAAAGGTCTCACAGTTTGGGAGGCTGAGATCTGAAATCAGGGAGTCTGTGTGATTCCTTCTGGAAGAACCTGGTCCATGCCTCTCTCCCAGCTTGGTGACTCCATAGCTGCATCTGTTTCTGCCATCAGATGACTGTTTCCTCTGTTTTTAGGACAGTACTCACAGAGGATTCTAAATGTTCTAGAGTCAGAAGCTCTGATGACCTAGTGATAAGAAGCTGAGCTGCAATCCCAAAGGCATATGATTCGAACTCACTAGATACTATGCGGGAGGACAATGAGCAGTGTCCTCCCTCAGGGTTTACTGCTTCTGAAAATCCTCTGGAGGGTCAGCTATGGTTCCATGTCCATTGCAATAACATGGGGTTCCTACGGCTGTATATCATGTAGGAGGAGACTGCCCATCTTTCTTTCTTGGAGCCACTGGTGGGTTAAAACTGCTAGAGAGGCATGCCTTTGGGTCAGCAGCCCCGCTCCCTGTGAATAGCACCACCTATGCTCTTGTAGCAGATTGTTCTGTAAGGTGCCATGAATTATAGTCTACTTAGTGGCTTCTGGTCTTAGTCTAGAAGTTCTCCAGAATCTGCTCAGCATCATAGCAGCAAATAAGCCCTGACAGATGAGTGGTAGCTGCATGCAAGGTGCATTGACTGGGTCTTGTGACTATTTCATGGAGGGCTGGAATGCTACCACTGAACTATCAATGCCTTCCCTGTTGCTTTTGTGAAGCCTTAAACTCCACATACTTCAAGCTCTGGGCGTTGAGGGCCACAATGCTGGGCAGGACTGAGAAGCAGCAGACATTGAGGGGAGAGAACCATGACACTGCGACCTGAAGAACACTGGAGAATGAAGAGACACATGTCATAGCCATGCAATCACCATGAACACCTGGGAGGTAGTTTGTTCACCAAAGTGCATTTATTGATTACTCCCTGGTGGCCCCATTTTGTCATTCATCAAAGAAACAAAGAGCCCCTTTATTGAGCCCCTGCTGTACACTTTGACCTTCCAGGACCTCAGAAACAGTCCTGATTTGAGCCATGGTGCAGAAGAAGAAACTGAGGCTCAGAGAGACTTTGAAATCACTTGGTCACACAGTGAGCAAGAGGAGGAATCAGACCCAACTCTACCTGGTTCCAAAACCCAGGTGATTTCCCAGAGATGGGTGTGACAGTAAGGATGGCTTCCAGTGTGGACGCCAATGCGACTCCCAGTGAGACCTCAAGACTGTCTCCTGTGATTAAGAGGCCTCCCCTCAAAGGTTTAGCCTCCTAGCACAGATCACTCTGAATCTGAGACTGGGAGCCCAGGTGGAATTTCAGGTTCAAGGAGATTCCATCCCCCATAGATGCCTAAGGAAGGTGGGGCTAACATGGGGAAAGGAAGAGGCTTGGTTGGAGGAAAAGGGCAACTCCTGCTTGCACCGCTCTGGGGGTTGGACTCGCCTGTTGTCTTCATCTGTACACAGTGATGCCCATCTGGCGGGTGTTGCAAGGAGTAGAAAGTGGCGGATGTCGTGCACAGCTGCTGTCTGGCAGGTAATTAGCGTGCAAAAGGAGGGGTGCCCAGTAGCCTCAAAGTCCAGTGCTGTCTGCAGAGGCTGCCTGAGCTGGGACACACCAGGAAGAAGGGCAGTTTTCAGACCCTATGGGAGGTACCCTGGGGGGGAAGTTCCTGAGAGCATGCATGCAGCTGTCATGGGGAACACGTTGACAGTCTCCATGGCAACAGCTTGGTGGGGCAGGGCTCTGTTATTGAGGGAAAGTCTAGAGAGAGGGGTTCCATTACCTCACACACCAGAGTTTGGTCTCCATAGCAATAGATGTGGTGCCTAAACCACCTGAGTTGGAACATGGAGGATGGCTGACGCTGGGGCTGGAGCTGGGGAAAGGGGCACCCTGTTTCCTTGGTGAGAGTGAGGAACCAGAAAGTTAGGTTACCTTGGGGGCAGTATGTCACTGCAGCTGTTAAGGACAGCAGGAAGTGGAGTTGAGGGTCTGGGTTGGGAGCCCGGTATGGTATCCATGGTTACAACTGGGGGAGGGGAGGGCAGGCCATCTCATGGGTGTGGCAGCTGCAGGAAGGGAGTATGGTGACAGGTAGAGGCTGTCTTGGTTGCTCTGGTGACAGCGGGTATCCGGGTGGCTGTTTCCATAGCAACAGTGACATAGCTCTTATGGATCTTTAAACCTGGAGAGGGGAGAGGGGATGGTCTCTTTGGTGACAGCTGGGGACAGTGCGCCAGCATCCAGATTAGGAGAATTCCACTCTCCCTCCAGGGAGACACCTGAGGGGAGTGGCATGGATGGCGATCCCAGGAGCCAACTGAGGGTGTGTCAATCCATCTTCACCAAGACAGCTCTGGGAGGTCTCCAGGGAGGCTCTAAAGGGTGGAGCTGTTCTCCAGGGTAACCTGGGGACATGACCTGTGTCGTCAATCTCCTCCCACCTCCGGGAGAAGATGACAACCTAGTCTCCAGGTTACTGCTGGGGAGAGGTTGTTCAGGAGCCCTTCATCTTCAGATGACCACCTGGGACATGGTCACCCGGGAACCCAAAAGTTTCCATTTTCTCTCCAGGTGGACTGAATAGGGGATTCCAGTGTCCAAGTGACAGAAAGGGGACAGGTGGCCATTGATCGTATGGTCCCGGGGGTCCAGCCTCCAGGTAACTTCGAGTTCGAGTTTGTTTCCAGGTGACCTCGGGAGGCATGGCCAGTCTGCAAGAGACTTTCTAGTCTCTTTTGTAGGTTTCCAAGAGTCCTCAGAGGGCATGGCCCGCCTCTCCTGGAGAAAGTTGGGGTAAGAGGGTGAATCAAGTGTTTAGGAGACTTCAAGGGGTTCTCAGTCAGTCTCCAGGTGACCAGAGTGGGACGTGGTCAATTTCCAGGGGACCTCAGGCAGCATGGGCATGGTCAGTCTCCAAGAACTGCAGGTGGTGGCAAGACCAGTTTCCAAGGGACCCAGGGCACTCGGTCAATCTCCAAGCACCCTATCTGTCCTGTCTTCCAGGCCTAGACTCGCAATGGGGTCCAGGCGGCAGGGTCACGAGCTCCTCCAGCCCAGCCGCCGCCACCTGCCCAGCCCCAGCCCCAGCCGCCAGGCGCTGGGTCAGGGGCGCCAGGTGCTCGGTAGCAGTAAACTCCAAAGAGGCGGCGCGAAGCGTCAGGGAAACCCAGGCTACGTACTCCGGGCCGGCGTCCCCCGCAGCGCGCGCGCGGGTTCACGATGGGATAGCGCGCGCTCCCGTCAGCCAACCAGCCCGCCGTGCAGCGGTCCAGCAGCTGTAGTTTCCACGCGGCGAACAGCTGCCCCACCTTGGCCACCGACGCACCGCGCGCCGCGCACGCACGTGCTGCCCCCTCGAAGGGCACGGGCCGCAGGGGCTTCAGGAAGAACACGCGCCCTGCAGGGAATGGGGGAATGATTGTGTTCAGTATCCCGGATCAGAATCTAGGTCCTCTTTGCAGGACAGGATCCTGGCCTGAGGACCCAGGAGCTTCACACGCATTTGTCTCTCTGGACTCCAGTCACAGAATCCAGCCCCTGATCCGTTCTGCTGCCAGGAAGCACAGCCTTGGGGTTCAGAAACTCCTTTGCAACCCCAGACTCCGATCTAGGTATCCAGGACCTTTTTTGCATCTCGCAACCACAGCCTGGGGGTTCAGAACCTACTCATCAGGGACCTGGCTTCAACCAATGTTTGCTAAGTAGGATCTGTCCTAGGGTGGGGTTAGCGGGTCTCGCGCCCCACTCCCACGAGGGGTGAGGATTATGCACTTTGGGGGCGGGACCAGGACATGACTGGGCAGAGCCTTCGTGCGGGGGTGGGACCTACGCACCGGGAAGGTTGGAGGTGAAACAGAAGGCATCATAGCGCTCCTCTGCGTTGTGGCGGTAACCGTAGTTGCGCACGCCCCCAGAGGTGCTTCCTCCAGGCCCGGGATTCGAAGCGCCTCCGCAGGGCTCCCGGGGGTGGCTCACAGGGTACTGCACGGAACCATCGCGGAGCCAGCCTGCGTTGCACCAGTCCAGGCCATCACGCCAGGCCGCGTGCAGCTGCTCAGCCGAGGCCAGAATGCCATCCTGCTCCGCACAAGCACGCTGTGCTTCAGCGAAGGTCAGTTTGTAACGGCCCCCACGGGGGTGGTAGGGGAATACCACGCCTGGGGGACGAAAAGGGGTCAGTCGGGGCCCTGAGACCTCCAGTACCCACCTAACAGCAGAAGCCAAGGCACAGAGAGGCACCGTGATTCTTTGATCGCGAAAGGGATCTAACCACACCTTTCCCAGGTCACATGCTCCTTGACTCCTTCACTTTAAGCTTGGGGTTCTCATAACACCCCTCAACCCTTAAAACACCCCATTTTCTATCACTGGAGACTTGCACATGATCATCTCTCCATCTGGTTCATCTGTTGAGCTCTAATTTATTCTTCAAAACCCATCTACAACCCTCCTCCATTCAATTCTGTGTGGATTTAGAAATCCATAGATGTACTCTGTCTTCCCTGTGATGCAGAATAAATCTCAAGAAACTGAGAGTGTCTGTGCCTGCTACTGATTCTCTCAGAAAGCTGGCCAAACGTGAAAACCCCTTTTACTGCAGCATCACAGAAGTTTCCATTTCCCCTTCCCTGTTGCGTTACCCTCATCAGACTCGCTGAAGTTCTCTATCTGTACTTGGGAGACAGACCATGGGGGTGAGTGAGTATTCCTAACAAATTGGGGTCAAAAGAATACTTGGAGCCTGACAAGACCAAAGATGACCTGTTTGTGCCTTACGTGCCCTGCAAAGGCTCACACCTCTCTGAGCCAGTTCCCCTCTGCTCCTAACAGTATCTCCCTCGCATATTGGGGAAAATTAAATGAGGAACTTTAAAGAGAGCTCCACAGCCATGCACCTAGTGTATAAAAAACATCTCATAAAGGAAAACAGCTACTGTTGCTGCTGTTGTTCACCATCATAATGAAGTTAGACTCTCTCCTGGAGTAATTTTGTTAAGTGAGCTGAAAAAGGCAAATCAATGGGAGGGAATTCTTCAGTTAGAAACTCCACCTACTATTTCAGGTTTAGCCAATCAGAGCATCCCATTTCCCACCCACAGTGATTGGCTCAGACTTGGTCACATGATTCACAAATGGCCAATGAGAGACAAGTCTGGGAGTCCTAACCTGAATATTTAGGAAAGTGATTGCTAAACTGGAAGCAAAGAAGCCTGGTACTGGATTTTGTTTGCTTCTGTGAGTCCTGCCTGAAGTGGAAGCCCACTCCAGAAGCATGACATGGATTTCACTGTGCCTGAAGCTCACTCAGCCCTAGGGTTTCTCACTGTTGGTACTATTGTCATCTTGGCCTGGATAACTTTGCTGAAGGGACTGTCCTGTGCATTATAGGATGCTTGGCACCATTCCTCACCTTGACACAGGAGATGCCAGTAGCAAAGCCCCTCAAATGACAAAACATCTCCTTTCGTTGTCAACCAGTGGACCTCAGAGTCACCCTTTGAGAACCAGTGCTTTAGTCTATGAAGCCTCTAAGTTCCTTCAAGTGTGCTCGTGTCATTTCTGTTTTTTGCACCTCCCTTACCCCCTCCCCACACCCGCCTTGGGCTAGTCACCTTCCAGGTCCAACTTGACCATGCCCGTGTCATCCTCCAGCTCGTTGGTGACCTCGCACTCATAGCGCCCGTAGTCTTGCAGTGTGACGTTGCGAAGCACTAGGGAGGCGTCCCCTGGTCCATCACCCTGCAGCTCCGCCCGCCCGCGGTAGCTGCCAAATGCTCGGTGCTGGGGACCCAGCGCCACGAAGACATCGGTGAAAGCCAGCGGGTCCACCACCTTGGTCCACTTCAGGCGGACGTCATCATGGCCGTGGGCGGCAGCCTCGTAGTGGTAACGGCAGGGCAGGACGATTGTGCCTCCCCGGTGGCTGACCACCTGCCCAGGTGCGGTCTGCACTACCACGGAGCCAGACTCGCCCTCTGCAGGCGAACCAAGCTGTGGTCAGGGGGGCGGGGCTTGGACGGGGCTCCAGAGGAGGGGTCCTGGGGAGGACGTGTGAACTTGAAAGATAAAAAGGGCTAGGAGGGTAGGGGGCTCGGACGTGGGAGGGACGGGAGACTGTGACTGTAATAATGCCAAACTTCGCACCAGGCGTTCATTCCAGACCACAGTCTTGGGTGTCCCCATCGATCCCCCTGTGAGCTAACCCCACACACATACACACACTCACCGAGTACGTGCACAACCTTCTTCCGACCGCGTTGCGCCTCTGTAGCGATTGCGAGCAGCAGGAGTCCCCAGGCTGTGGCCCAGAGCTTGCGGGGGCCAAGGGCTGCCTGGGCACACACCTGGGAGGCAGGTGCGCAGGTCAGCCCACGGAGTGCCCAGTTTCAGGCTTTCCTCTTTGTCCTAACACTCTTGCCACCCTATCCCACGGCGAGGACCCAGTTTACGCCCAGCAAAGTTCCTGCTACAGACCCCCTCCAAGGTCTCGGGTCCCCCCTCCCCTCTCATCATCTGATCTCGGGGTTCTACCCCAACCCTTGCTCAATCAGGCACGCGGAGCCCCGCCCCCTCTCTCCGGGGCTGCGGGAGGAGGAGCTGTAGGCCAGGCGGCGGCAAGGTTATCCGTGCGCCAGGAGACTGCAGCAAACCGGGCCGGTGGGGGGTGGTGGGGCAGAGAAAGAAAGGGGGAGACAGGGGCGCGGGCAAAGGGCGAGGCCGTACAGAGATGGAGGAGAGGGAGATACACAGAGTGAAAACTGCAAGAGACAGATAAAAGGAGAGAGTTGGAGAGGGAGAGCGACGTAGGGAAAGGAAGAGACAAAAGTGCAAAGAGGGGGTAGAGACACAGAAATAGAAGGAGAAAAGAGAAGAGATAGGAGGGAGGCAGAGAATGGACGAAGCCAGCCAGACACAGAGAAACTTGGAAGAACTTAGATCCAGACGCAGAGCAAGAGAGAGACAACCTGGAGAGAGAGAGACCGAGGCCAATTCCCTGTGGGTCCCGTGGCCCGCTAACTCACCATTTTGCCCCGCGTGCCCCTGGTGAGGGCCCCTGCGCCCCCCGCGCTCTCCTGCACTGCTGCGCTCTGCGACCTCCTGGGAAGGACTGGACAGATTTCTGCAGGACAGCGCAATCCCGGTGTCTGCCTGCAAGGGGAGGAGGGAAGGGGGGGGGGTGTCGTTAAAGGGAACGCAGCTGCCGTTTGAGCTCGATGGAAGGATGGCTTGGGGCGCCCACAGAGGAAGAACTCACTGCCCTCCAGCAGTGAATGCTGGGCTAGATCCTTGCCTCTTCTAACTGAACCTCTCAGGACCTCAGTTTACCCGTCTTTACAATGGAAGAGGGGTATGTCTTCTGTCAGATATCTCCCTGGGGAAAGAGGCTAGGTGTTTTGCAAAAGGGGCTTGGCCTTGGGGACAAGGACCTTGACTAGATGTTCACTCTGCAGAGTGGGTGTTTCCACAAGGATCACACTTGACAGAGATGGGTGATGGTACAATGATATGACAAATTCAAGCCCAAATTGGATCCTTGCTGTGTGGCATTTGAGCTTTCTGAGCCTCAGTTTCCTCCTCTGGGAAACAGGGACTGACTGTTTGGTGGGGATTCAATGGCTAGACATGTAGTAAGCCCATTATCATCTATTCAGTTCTTACTCATATCAACCCTATAGGACAGAATAGACCTTCCCTCCTGGGTTTCCAAAGCATCAGCCTTTATGGATTACATAATGATTAGGGGGCTCTGGAGGCCTAGTGGTAAGTAGCTGCACTTCAGTCTCAAAGGCATGCAGTTTGAATCCACTAGTTGCTCTTTGGGAGAAGGATGGGCACTCTCCTATGTGATTTACTGCCTCTGAAAACCTGGTGGAAGTTCTGCTGTGAGTCTGTTCTGACCTGACAGCACTCAGTAACAACAATCTTTATGGAAGTAGATTGCTGTTGTTATGTGCCGTTATGTCACCTGAAACTCATAGTGACCCTGTGTACAACAGCTCTGACATCTGCCCTATCTTGAGCCAGTCTCACTGACTCTGATACACCTACTCCCATTGTCCCAGTTTCTGCAGCAATTCATCTCATCTGGGGTCTTCCTCTCCTATATTGCCCCTCCACCCTTCCAGGCTTGATGTCCTTTTCCAAGAAGCAGTACCTCCTGGTCACGTGCCCAAAGAATGGGAGACAGAGCTTCAAAATCCTAGTCTTCAAGGAGAAACTTTGTCTCACCTCTCTTGAGACAGACTTATTTGTTTTCTTGGCAGTCTATGGTACGTTCAAGACTCTTCTCCAGCACCACAACTCAAAAGGCTTTGATTCTTCTTCTGTCATCCTTAGTCATTGTCCTGCTCATTGATGGAAGCAGATTACCACATCACTATTGTTTGGAGTGGCTCGTGGGTTCAAACTGTGGACCTTTCGGTTGGCAGCTGAGTGCTTAACCATTGTGCCATTAGAGTCCCTAGATATATCAAAACCAAACCCAGTGCCATTGAGTTGATTTCTAACTCCTGGTCATCCTCCATCAAGTTTCTGAGGTAGTAACTCTTTTTTTTTTTTTTATGTGTGTACCGTCAAATTGGATCTGACTGGTACAGGAGGCGTTCCTCCTTCTTCAGCAGAGCATCTAGTGGATTTGAACCGTGCACCTCTGGGATTGCAGTGCAGTTTCCTGCCACTAGGCCACCAGAGCCCGTTGGTAGTAGCTCTTAATAGGAGCAGACTGTCTCAACTTTCTCATGCAGGCTGGTGGTAGATTTGAATTGCCAACCTGTTAGTTAGCAGCCCAACACGACATCACCAGAGCTCCTTCTTTGATGTAAAACCCACTATCATGGATATGATATGTCAACAGAGAACTGCCAGATGTGCAGGCTGGATTTAGAAGAGGTTGCAGTACTGGGGATATTATAGCTAATGTAAGATGGATCTTGCCAGAAAGCAAAGAATACCAGAAGAATGTCTATCTGTGCTTCATTGACTATGCAAAGGCTTTTGACTGGGTGGATCACAACAAGCTGTGGCTGACTGAAAGAAGAATGGGAATCCCAGAACATTTGATTGTGCTAATGCGAAACCTATACTTGGACCAAGAGGCAGTCATCAGAACAGAGTAGGGAGACACTGGATGGTTCAAAATCAAGAAAGGGGTCCATCAGGGATGTATTTTGTCTCCATACCTTTTTAATCTATATGCAGAACAGGAATGTGGCATCAGGATTGGTGGAAGAATCGTCAACAACCTGCATTATGCAGATGACACAACCCTGCTCACTGAAACTGAGGAGAACCTGAAGCACTTGCTACAGAAAGTCAAAGACTGCAGTCTTCAAAATGGATTGAAGCTCAGCATCAAGAAAACAAAGATTCTCACCACTGGACCAATTGGCAGCATCAGTATGGATGGTGAAGAGATTGGGATAGTTAACAGTTTCGGTTTGCTCGGCTCCACAGTCAACACTCTTGGTAACAGCAGCCAGGAAATCAGGAGGCGAATTGCATTGGGAAAGTCAGCTGTGAGGGACCTCTCAAGAGTACTGAAGAGCAATGACGTCAAGCTGGAGACTAAGGTGCTCCTGATCCAGGCTATAGTCTTTGAAATTACATGTTATGCATCAGAGAGTTGGGCAGTGAAGAGGGATGATAGAAAGAGAATTGATGCCTTTGAGTTGTGGTGCTGGAGAAGAGTGTTGAATATACCATGGACTGCTAGAAGAACAGACAGGTTTGTCCTGGAGAGGGTGAAGCCAGAATGTTCCCTGGAGTCAAGGATTCTGAAGCTTCATCTGACATACTTTGGGCATGTTGCAAGGAGGGACTGGTCCTTGGAGAGGGACATCATATTTGGGAGAGTGGAGGGACGGCACAGGAGAGGAAGACCCTCGATGAGATGGACCAATTCTGTGAGTGGAGTGGTGGGAATGAATGTGTTTGAGACAGCGAGGTTGGCACAGGATAGAACGGCGTTTAGGGCTCTTGTACATAGGGTCACTATGAGTCGCAAATGACCCGATGGCACATAACAACAACAACACCATGGTTTGAAACTGTCAACAGCTTCATCTTGCTTGCATCCACAGCCAACACCCTTGGTATCAGCAGTCAGGAAATAAGCAGACACATTGCAATGGGAAAATCTGCAATTAGGGACCTTTTCAAATTATTGAAGAGTAGTGATGTCAGTTTAAAGACTAAGGTGCATCTGATTCAGGCCGTAGTCTTTTCAATTAATTGCTATACATCTAACAATCTGGATAATGAATAAGGATGACAAGAAAAGAATTGCCGCCTTTGAGCTGTGGTGTTGGAGAAGAGCACTGAACAGCCTATCAATGGCCAAGAGAACAGATATGTCTTGGAGAGGGTGTAGCCAGAGTGTTCTTTGGAGGAAAGAATCATTAGGTTTCACCTCACATATTTGGGCATGTTGCTAGGAGGTGCTATTCCTTGGAAAATGACATGATGCTGGGAAGAGTGGAGGGCTGGTGAAAGGAGAGGAAGACTCTCAACCAGGTGGACTAATGTGGTGACTGCTTCAATGGGCTCTTGTGTGTCAGCAAGTGTGAGGATGGTGCAGGACAGAACATGGTTCAGATCTTTTGTTCAGAGCGTCACTATGAGTCATACTCAACTCGATGACACCTAACAACAATCATCAAATTGGTTTTGATTCTCTGTGTGGTATTAAGGGTTTTTGTGCAAAATGCATTCCCTACCCATTAACTTACTTTGCCATGTGGATAAGAAAATATGAAAATATGGTGTGTTAGCCTATCCACAAGGAGATTGACTAGTCTCACCATTAAATCGAGCAGACCCAGCAGCAGAACTGTAGGAACCTCATCTGCCAGAAAAGAAGCAGCAAAAGAATACAACTCGTCCTTTAAGATCAAAGATTGTTGTCTCAGCCAGACTAGAGTCTACGGGAGCAACAGCCACAGCAGCCCCAGGAGAGAACCAGAGACCTGACAGAGGGGACCTTGGGACTGCTGTGCCACAAAACCCGAGCTAAGAGCATTTTGCCTGAGTTTGTTGGAGGACTGGGGAGGGGAGAGCCATAAATGGAAGGATGGAGAGTTTTGTAACACTGACCTAAATCCGCAAAGCTCAAGGCTGAGAAGCCTGCGAGCACACTTCAGAAGCTGTCCTGACTGTTTTCTGCTACTAACCTGGATTATAACCCCCTTTTTTTAAAAACAAAAAAATATTTTTTTAAATTCTTTGTTGCATGTTTTCTTTCCACTCCCCAGCCCAACTGGCAATGTACCTCTTATTCCAGATTGTTCTCCTACATATAATGCATAATCATATATTCCTTTCAGACAGTTCTTCCCCTCATCTGTTCTAATGCAGTGTTTATTATCTATCCACTCTTTCCCTATTCTCTCACCACCCCCCACCACGTCTGTCCTATTTTATAACAGCAGTGTTATGCAGTATTTTTCCTTTTGTGATTGGGATATTTCACTCTGCATAATGTCCTCTAGGCTCTGCCATGTTGTATAATGTTTTACGAGTTCGTTGTTTTTCAAAGTTGCATAATATTCCACTGTGTGAATGTACCATAATTTTTCTATTCAGTCATTTGTTGATGGGCACTTGGGTTGCTTCTGTCTCTTTGCTATTGTGAATAATGCTACAATAAACATGGCGTGCATATATCTGTTTGAGTCATGGCTCTGGTTTCATTAGGGTATATTCCCAGTAGTGGAATTCCTGGGTCTAATGGTATGCCTATTTTCAACTTTGGAGAGTTGTGTCAATCCTTGTTTTTTCTGACCTTTCACCTTTCCAAGCCTGATGCCTTTTTCCCAGGAACTTGCTTCTCTTTACAACATGCCCAGTGTGTGTGAGATGAAGCTTCATCATCCTTGCATCAAAATTATCTCTTCTTTTGGCTTCAACACAACTCAAAGATATTTATGATTCTTCAGCCAACTTTATTCATTGTTCCACTTTCAGATGCATAGCAAACAACTGAAAAGACCATGGCTTGATTCAGGCGTACCTTACTTTTAAGCTGACTTTGCTGCTCCTCAGCATCTTGGAGACTTACCCAGTGCAATACATCTTTTGACTCCTTGACTGCTGGTACCAAGGAAACTGCTAACAACCTCAGTGTTCTCTCCATCTATCATGAAGCCCACTTAAACAGGGGTAAGGACTTAATAGTTTCTTAATATTGTGATCTCATTGATATTTAAGGCTGTAATCTAAGCCAAAGGTCGTATAGCCCCGGTGTGTCTACTTGCCGTACAGCAGTAACTTGTGGTTGCTGTGACACTGATGTGTCAAATGCGTTAATGGTTGGTTACCCATGGCAGACAGTGTTGGGTGGAGCTCCCCAATTAAAACAAGCTTGGAAGCAGGAGTGGCATCCACTTCCATAATAGCTTGCCTCCGGAAACCCTATGAACCTGGAGAAAGGATGAAAGACAAACAAGTATTGAGGATTTTCCTTCATAGGGTCGTTATGAGTCGCCTGTGACTTGACAGCACTTAACAACAACAACAATCTTTGATCTTCTGTAGCAAGTGTTTCAAGTTCTTCTCACTTTCAGCAAGCAAGGTCATGTCATCTGCATAACACACGTTGTTATTAGTTTCCCTCTGATCCTGATGTCACATGCTTCTGCACAGAATCCAGCCTCTTGAATTATCTCTCCTTAGCATACAGATTGAATAGGTATAGAAAAAACGATTAAAAAAAAAAAAGGATCCAGCTCTAACATACACCTTTCTTGATTTAAAACTATACAATGTTCCCTTGGTCTGTTCATACGACAGCTTCTTGGTCTAGGTAAAGCCTTTGCATAAGCACAATTAAATGTTCTCGGATTCCCATTCTCCTCATTGTCAGCCATAATTTGTCAATAAAATACAAATAGACTTATAAAGTGCCTAGTAAGTATAGATAGGGACCTGTGGAGGCTTAGTGGTAAGGAGGTGCTCTGCCCACCCAAAGGCACACAGTTTGAATCTACCAGCTTCTCAGAGCAAGGAATATAGGTTATCCCCTCCCGTGCAATTTACTGGTTCTGAAAGCCCTCTAGTGGGTCAGTTCTGACTTGACAGTCCACCATGACAATAATAAGTATAGACAGATTCAGGGGGACAGGAGAGAACACCCGCAATCAATCCCTTGACCCACCTCCTGGTCCTTTACACAAGTTTAACAATCACACCAGGGAACAACAAGCCCTCCTCCAACCGCCTCTGCTTGTTTTGCAGCCTCAATTTCCCAAAATGAGACCAGGCCAACAGACAGCAGAGGCAGAGTGTGGGCTCTGCGATTAGTCAGGTTTGGATTCAGTCACAGCCTCCCCCTCTTCATTCTCATCTCTGACTTGGAATATAGAATGATATCTAGCATGAAGCATATGAAACTGGCCCCTGCCACTCACTCCTAGTGACCCGCCATCAGGTTTCCAAGACTTGTAAATATTTTTTTTTTTGGGAGAGACTTGTAAATCTTAACAGGAGGAAACCACCATCTTTGTCCCTTGGAGCCACTGGTTAGTAGCAGAATGACCAGAGATGAGTGGCCTTTTGGCTAGCAGCACAACACACACCCACACAACAGACTACGCCATACACACCAGAGCTCCTGGTATAGTGCAGACACCTGATAACTCTGCCAGGTTATTCATTATGATAATTTATTCACGGGCCTAGGAATGAGGTTCCTTCTTGCCAAACGTTGACCCTCGGCAGGTCTTTCATCCACTCTGAGCCTCAGTTTCTCCATTTGAAAGATGAAGCTGTTGATGCCAACTGGAGTCGGGCTTCTGGCTCCCAGGGTCCTGATGAATGGGCCTACCAGGGGCTTGAGAGGTTCCCTTAGTCCTTGCACCCTGAAACACTCAGGGAGTGACATTTTGGATACCAGTAGGGGTTTTTCATTATTAACCAGAGGCTGATATTTTGGAAGGGGGTTGACAGGTATGCTTGAGGATTTAGGGCACTTTGATAGCTGAACTTGACCCCCTGTGAGAGAACACCCAGCCTCTGGGTCTCCTATTCCAGCTGTAGGTCTGAAATCACTCTCCTCAGGCCCAAAGATCCCCTGGAGACATACTTCTTGCCCTTAAAAAAATCTAACCCAGTTTTCCTAGGCCAGGGACAACTGGATATGTAAACTGAGTCCTAGGGCAACCTGGTGCCCCCCTTAATTAAGCTTCTTGTGCTTAGCCATCAAGTCTGGGGACTGTGGTTTTAGGAAGAAGGTGGGCCGCCACAGGCAGCGGCTGGCAAGCAGGTGGGGACTCAAGGCATAGAGCAGGTTGCACAGAAAGACGGGGGCCCACACGTCCTCAGGCACGCGGTAAGTGAAGGCCGTTCGCAGGTGGAGTGACGCGCCCATGTGTGAGAATTGTGCCTGTGGCCAAATGCAAGGGAAGGGTATCAGGGCTGGGACCTGGCCAACATTCCAAACTGCACACTAGGTTTCCTAAATGGTCCCCATTTCTCTGGCTCTGCCAGATTTACAAGTCTCCCAATCCTACTTCCTGCCCACTGATTTCTGAAATATCCCCTCACCTGCTTCTCTGTCCCTGTTCACCTCTGTGCGCTACTACTGCTTCTCTCCAGCTGCCGGAGCAGAAGTTACATGTTCTCTGCCCCCAAATACTGGCTCTGCACCCCACCTCTGCCACCTGGGGGGGGACAGTTCATCTCTCACATGGAGACACCACCAACCATCCAGCTGCAAAATCTCCTTGCCTTGGACACAAATCCCATTGATTCTATCCCAACAGTGTGTTCCATGCCTCCACTGCCATGGCCTGAGCCCAGGCTTCATTACTTCTAACCAGGATCCCAGAAGCAGGCCTCAGCTCTGACAGGATCCCTTCTGCTCACGCAACTCCACAGCGCGCTCAACCCAAGTCCCCAGGGCAAGTTCAAAGCTTTAGTATCTGTCAATTTATCTTTTTTTTTAAAAAAAAAATATGGAACACTTCACGAATTTGCGTGTCATCCTTGCGCAGGGGCCATGCTAATCTTCTCTGTATCATTCCAACTTTAGTATATGTGCTGCCGAAGCAAGCACGTCAATTTATCTTATCTTTGCCTTCATTCATGTTACCTCCCACTCTGTGACTTTCCTTATGCTACTCACGCCCCCAGAATGCTCTTCCCTGCACAGAGTACACACCCCTGCCCTTCAGTGCCCAGTTCCTGTGCAGCCATGCCCTTCTAGTAAACACTCTCCCTCTGGTTTCTCCTCCGGTAGCCTCTACTCCTTCCTCTCTCCATTCTGACCCCACAAGCTGGGCTCTGTTTCTGGCTCTTGTCTCCCCAAGATCAGCTATGCCGCCAGGGGCTGTGCCTGGGACTGAGGAGGCCCAAAGCACCCCACCCAGGCTCTAGCACAAAGGCAGGACAGGCAGAACACCACCCATTTCTCTTGCAAGCCCATCCCACTCACCTGAGCAATGGCTCCAGCAAACACCAGGGCCCAGTCAGGTAGCCAGGAGCAGCCAGGAAAGATGAGGGCGTAGATGGCTAGGCCATAGAAGGGCAGGACGTAGAACATGTATACCAGCATCTAGGGACACACAGCCCATAGTATGAGCAGTTGCCTCAGCTGGGTCCCTGAGGACACCTGATACAGGGACCCAGTCAGGATCCAGCCAGCTATAGACCCCACCCAGGATGGGACACTGCACATCCAGAATCCTATGTCTCTTGTGGAAGCAGCTCCCCTCTATCCCTTGGAGATCACCCCTCTTAGTTTGTGTAGATTAGGCCCACTCTTTTACTCAGGAAGCAGCCTGTGACCTGGTCAATCAGAACACACTAGCTTCTGGGTCATAATAAACGGCTATAGAATACACATGTGACTCAGGCTGAGCCAATTAGAGCATAGCCAAGACTTGTGCCCAAGCTAGGGTGGGAGGCAAATAAGATCACATTTTCTTGGGGTGGCTAAATGGAAAAGGTGGAAACCTGAAATTGACCCACTGCCACCTTACAAAAGGGTTGCCTGGGAATGAAACACATGCCTAGAGGAAGGGCTCCCCATTCTTGGATCCATCCACGCTGGAGATTCAGATTTGCACTTTTTTAGCTGTGGGGTTCCACTAGTTTTGAGTTGTGTGTCTGACATTAGATTCCAAAGAGGGTCGGTGGCACCCTTCCTGCAGGCAGGACACTCTCCTGTTCTGCCTCCTCACCTGCACCTTCGGATAGGCCACGGGATCCCGTAGATAAGGTTCATACTGGTAGATGTAGATGAAGCAGGCATCTGTGGGGCAGTCGAGCACCACCTGGGGCAGAGAAACAAAATAATGCCCCACGACAGTATCCCTCCAACGGAAGCCATACTCCTTGCTGTGGTCTCCCCCTGTCCTGACTCTCTGGATGGAGTCTTTGCCATGCAATACTCAAGTCAGACTCCATAAAGAACTTCCCCGGATGATCGGAGTAGTATTCCTAGACTTTATAAAAAGAAGCAGGATGGCCAATTCAGACTCACCAGGCCCCGGAAGAGAGTAAAAAAACCAGCAAGAATGAGGTATATGACGAGGGCCAGGTCTACTGGGCGCTGCAGGAGGCTTTTCCTGTGTTCTTCTTGTACCTGGTCCACAGGAGAGAAGCAGATAGTGTGACAGGCCTAGCATGCAGCAATAAAGGCTTGTCTCTTCCTGGCAACAAAAGAGACTGACCCAAGGACTTCTAGGATGTTTAGGTATCTGAGGGACAAACAGGGGACACTGAGGCATGTTGACACAAGACACTCACCATGTTCGGGGTGTAGCAGATGGGTGCCTGGGACTGTTTGAAGATTCTTACGCCAGCCCAACATGGGACCAGCATGTAGAGGATGGTGAGGAAGAAGGCAGGCCTGATCTCTGAGCTATATTTGCCTGTGAAAGTGGGAGAAGAATGTGGGATGGGAATTGGAGGAAGACTCACTAGCTAACTGCTTCATGAAGCTGATACATCCTGGTGTGCAGAAAGTGAAGAAGACTTGAGGCTCTTTTTTTTTTATTTTTTTTTTTATTTTTGTGTACGTGTACCGTCAAATCAGATCTGACTGGTACAGGAGGATATTGCGCCTCCTTCTCCGGCAGAGCGTCTGGTAAGACTTGAGGCTCTTACTGCGGAAGATGAAAGACTACAGGCTCCAATACAGATTATATCTCAACATGAAGAATGTAAAAATCCTCATCACTGGAGTAATAGGCAACATCATGTTAGAGGAAGAAAAGATTGAAGTTGCAAAGAATTTCATCTGGATTCATAGTCAACACCCATGGTACAGCAGTCAAAAGACGTACTGCACTGCAAAAACCTCCTGTCAGGGACCTATTCAAAATTGTGACGAGTAAGGATATCAGTTTAAAGACTAGAGTGAGCCTGATTCAAGCCATGGTCTTTTCAGTCATTTCCTATGCACCTGAAAAGTTGAACAGTGAATAAGGGAGATCAAAGAAGAGTCAGTGCCTTTGAACGGTAGTGCTGGCAATGAATATTGACTATCCCATGGACTGCCAAAAGAAAAAACTAATCTGTCTTGGAGAAAGTGCAATCCGAGTGCTCCTTATAAGACAAGTATGGTGTCAGGCAGGGAGACCTTCAACAAGATGGATTGATGAAAGGAAGCTCTGGTGGCCGAGTGTGAAGAAGCTGCACTGCAACCCCAGAGGCGTGCAGTTCAAATCCACCAGATGCTCTGCTCTCCTCCTGTATCAGTCAGATCCAATTTGACAGTACACACACACACACAAAATAATATAATAATAGTAAAATAATTTTTTTTAAAGATGGATTGACAAAGTGACTGCAACAATGGGTGTTAGTATGATGGAAACTGTGAGGATGGTGCAGGATACAGCAAGGTTCTTCTGATTTGTTGCTCATAAGATCTCTATGAGTAATTGTTGACTCGATGGCACATAAAAATCCAGTAGCAGTCTCCAAGGCCTGGCTGGACCCATACACAAAAGGTCACACTAGAGCTCCTGGCTGGATATCTTGATTAATTTGCATGAGCTCTAACACCTTTCATGGCTCCCCATTGTCTATGGCATAATGTCCATTTAGGAGCCTGTGTGTCTCTCAAACAATCTTTGAGCTCCAATTCCTTCTGGAATTGGCTCTCAACATTAGAAAGTTTGGCTTGGTCAACACATCCAATCTTCTGCCTTTTCTTCAAGCTCATCATATCCCCTGAGTTTACCTGACTATACCCACTGCTAAGCCTTTGTCCCTACCATCCCTGCATCCCAGATGGCCTGCCCTATTTGTCCCCACCTCTCAAGCTCTGCCTATGAAGATTTCACTGTGCCCCAGCATCCACCTTATAAGTCCCAATGTCCAGAACATGTGGGGTCAAAGTTTTGGGGTCAGGAGTCAGTAGCCTGGGAAAAAAGTGGATTCAGGATCTCCTCCTTCAGGAAGAAATGAGAAAGCTGAAGGATTTGGGGAAAGGAACAAAGGATCACAAGGGAACTTCTAGGAGCTGGACATTGTCCCAGCTCAGGGGACAAGAATTCCCTGAAGCCAAGTCCTCACCTAGGATGTTTCCTGGAAGGAATGTGAGGATGCTCATGACGAAGGAGCCCAGCCAGTAGAGTCCAAGGTTCCGGTACCTCTTCCTGGGTGGGAAGATCATGGCATGACCAGCAGGTACCTACTTTCTGGTCTCAGAGCTAAGAAGTAAGGTTCAACTTGCCCGGGATGGAAGGGACAATAGAGGGGATGAGTAGAGGAATGGCCAATCAGACCACTCCATCTAAAGACAAAGGCGGCTACCCAGATACCTAGACGGCATCTGAAAACAGCCCCAGAATCTTCTTCCAGTTACCTCAGCCCCACCTCAGGCTGCAGCCCCTGCTGATACTTCTGGCTCCACCTTGTCCTGAGAGCCCACCCTAAGGCCTTGACCTCCCTTCCTGTGAACCTTTTTTGGATAGCACCAGCCATGGCCAGGTAGAGGAGGTAGTGAACAATGCCATCCCAGTAGCAGATGAAGACTCCATGGGCTGTGCTCAGGTAGGGCTCACCCTGTAGGGACAAGTGCAGTATGCAGGTGGGTGGGTGGGGGAACAGAATCTGGGGGCCTCCCATCCCTGCCTCCCACACATACACACCTTGGTGTAGAACTCCATGAAGCCCACCACATAGCCATCTTCTTGGAGAGAGATGAGGAGGTCCACCACAGAGGTGAAGGCCAGAACTGCAAACACTGTGGAAGAGTGGGTGGGTGCATGTGCCATCAGATGTGGGCGGGGCTACGGTGGTGAGGGCGGGACTAGGGTGTGTGGGTGGGGTTAGGGCGTGTGGGCGGGGCTAGGGTGGTGAAGGCGGGGCTCAGGCAGAGGGTGGGGCTTCAATCAGGCATGAGTGTGATCATAGGCTCTGGCTGGGTGTAGAAATCCAGATCAAGAGCACTAGTGGTTTAAGAAAGGAAAGACCCCCAGACATGGGCATGGGGTGAACAGGCATGGATAAGACCGCTGGGATGGGTGTTTGAGCAAACTTCTCACATGCTTTGTATATGTGGCCGGGAGGGACTGGTCCTTGGAAAAGGACATCATGCTTGGAAGGGTGGAGGGACAGTTCAGAAGAGGAAGACCCTGGATGAGATGGATTAATACAGTAACTAGGGCAATGGGAGTAGATGTTTCAGAGACAGTGAGACTGGCTCAGGACAGGACAGGCTTCAGAGCTGTTGTACAAAGGGTAGCTATGAGTTGCAGGTGACTCCTTGGCACCTAACAACAACAGTCCAAGTATGGATGGTCCAAAGATGGGTGTGCACATGGTTGAGGACTGGAATGGCTGTGGATAAGGGCAAGTGTGGGCAGGGCTGAGGGTCAGATATGAAGATTCTGGGCAAGACTTCCAAACTCCTTCCTCCCACCCCACAGATCACATGACCCACAGACCTCACTGGCTTTGTCTGATGGAAGAGACACAGTCCCTGCCTTAAGAGGTCCCAACATTGATAGAAAAAAAAGTACTATCCCTGACTTGAGGAGACCCCAAGAATCACAGGGAGGCATAGTCTTTCAGGGTCTCCCAATGTGATGGGAGAAGGAAACAGGCACTGCTCTCAGGAGCCCCAAATATGAAGATGACCTATTGAAGTTCTCCAGGATAATTGGGGAAGTTCTTCAGGAGTCTCTCTGCCTAATAGCAGAGAGATCGTCAAGGACTTGTCTCATTCTGATGGAAGAGGCCCTTTGGGGCTCTCCAATCTGATGGGAGAGGTCCTCTGATAGCTCTATGTCATAGGATGGAAGCCCTTGTCCAGATAATCCATCCCTCTCAGTCTGTAAAGTCCCACTGACTCACCAGCATAGAGAGGGTCATAGGAGATTTCACCACGGGACAAACTGCGGACGGACACGAGGAGCAGCACCAGGATCAGGATACTTGTCAACACCACCCCCAGTGGGCTGTGGAAAAGAAGCCAGGTCAGGGGGCCAGGCACAGTGCTGGGGTCCAAGCCGTCCATATGGGGCAAGGACAGAGTCTGGGTTGTAATAAAGCTGATGTGTCCATTCGTCCATCCAACAAGGCCCTCCCTTTCTATCCCCAGGCTCTTGTCTAGGCTGTTGCCCCCCCTTATAAGAACGCCATTCCAGAGCTGCTTCTCCACTTGGCCAACTGCTACTCATCCTTCATAAACCATCTACACTGCCCTTCCTCCAGGACTCCACTACTACTCATGGCGGCTGAGTCGCAACCAACTCATAGCTGACCATCCAGCGGGTTTCTGGAGGCTGTAAATTGCATGAGAGAAGACTGCTTCTCTTTCTCCCAAGGAGTCACTTGTGGCTCTGAACTGGCAGAGAGAGGGGTGATGTTTGGGTTGTTGTTGAGGATTGTCAAGTCAGAACCAACTCACAGCTGACCTTCCAGCAGGTTTTCAGAGGCAGTAAATGACATAGGAGACCGTCCATCTTTTCTCTTGTGGAGAAGTTGGTATATTTGAACTGCATACCTTCGGGTTGGCAGCTCAATTCCTTACTACTAAGCCACCAGTAGCCTGTCATCAATAACCTTCGTTTTGCAGTTTACACAACCTTGCTTGCTGAAAGTGAGGAGGACTTGAAGTGCTTGCTGAAGATCAAACATTGCAGCCTTCAACATGGATTGCATCTCAATGTTAAAAAACCAAAAATCTTCGCCTCTGGACTAATAGGCAACATCATCATAGATAAAGACTGAAAGTGTTAATGACTTCATCTTACTTGGACCTACAGTCCACTTGGTACTGACTGACAGGAAATCAAGAGATGTCATATCGCACTGGAGAAGTCAGGAACCTCTCCCAATTATTGAGGAGCAATGGTGTTAGTTTGAAGACTTAGGTGTGCCTGATTCAGGCCATGGTCTTTTCAATCATTTAATTGTGCTGCTGGGAGCTGGACAATGCATAAACATGATAGAAGAATTGATGCCTTTGAATTGTAGTGTTGGAGAAGAGCACTGAATATGCCATAGACTGCCAAAAGAACATATAGATACATCTTGAAGAAGGTGCAGCAAGAGTGCTCCTTGGAGCAAGGATGGTGAAGCTTTGTCTCACATACTCTAGGCATGTTGCTAGGAGAGGCTATTCCTTGGAGAAGGGTATCATGCTTGGAAAGGTGGAGGGACAATGAACGAGAGGAAGACTGTCAACCAGGTGGACTGACACAGTGACTGCTACAATGAGATTGAGTGTGTCAAAGATTGTGAGGATGGTACAGGATAGGACAGGGTTCAGATTTATTGTTCACAGAGTTGCTATGAGTCGTAGTGATGGTACCTAAGAACAAGAAGAAGCCACCAGAGCTAACCTTTGGGTTGGCAACACAATTCCTTATGGACCAGAACTCCACTCCTCCAGGAAGAACTCTAACTCCCCAGAAAGGATCATTGCTCAGCTTGGGCCAGGCAGAGGGAGCATCTTCCCATCCCTTCTGGCCGCCTGATTTACCTCATTATTTGCTGACTTACATTTTATTTCATTTACTCAATCAATTAACTAAGTTCCCCTATGGCCAGGCCCAGCTGCAACACTTCTCAGAGGGTCTCTAGTGCTTGGCTCTGCACATCTCACAAGACTCCTCCTGGCTAAAGTTCAGTGACTCCACCCCTGCCTCTTCTGCCCTCACCAACCTGATAAGGCAGGTCAACCAGCTACACAGATAACATCATGTGTCTCTAGGCAGTCCCCAGCACAGGTGGACAAATCGAGGCCTAGAGAGGGTGGGAGGCCCGTCCAAGGATCATATACTGATGTTCTCAAGACACCACCTACCTGGATATACTGTTGGCCCCTAGGATCCCTATTCTTGCCCTTTCACCCATATCAAATAAGACCCTTGCCAGCCTCCTGTATTACAGCTCCTGAACCTAAGCTGTAACTATGGAGTTATGTCAATTATAGAGTGAGGAAAATTGAGGTTTCCAGATGTGATATTGTTCATCCAGAATCCCAGGGGGCTATAAGGGACTGGATCCAGCAATTTGCATCCAGAGGCCAGCTTAGGGGACAGTTAGGGTTAAGTTTGGGAGTGGAAGGGGCTTGCGGACACGAGGAGAAATTGTTGCTATGGCCAGAGTGGTTTTGTCTTGAATGAGAGGACAGTCCCTGACTTGAGCCAGGAAGTCATGGAGAAACCTTTGGTGGGAGCTGCTGGGCAGGGCATATGTGGCAACTGCCAGCTCACCCAGGCCTTATCTGGGCCATACTTTGACCCCAGTGACTGGAGCCTGTGCTTGGTGCATCGCCGCGGAAGACCCTCGGAAGTCATACCTTGCAGGGGGAATTCTGCCCCTCCACGTCCCTTCTCTCAGTCCTCAAGAGACCCACAACAGTCCCACGCCCCCTGGTCGTCTTCCGGGTGGGAAGAGGACTTCCGGTTGGGATCAGAGGAAGTTTCCTGGCCCAGAACCCCTTTCTCCCGAGCCAGGCAGGTGCCCAGGCTCCTCGTGGCGCATCTTCCTTCCAGTGCCTCCACGGGGTCCCCATCTTCGGGGCCAGTAGCCCCCAGAACCCACTGCCCCAGGACCCAGGCCCTTCCTTGCACTCACTGCGAGAGCTCCGAGACGAGATTCAGCACGTAGGACACGGGCAAGGCTGTGAGCGACAGCGCCGCGATCTTGCCGGCCAGCGGCGGGATGTCCATGGTGGCTGCGCGCGGACCCTGGCGCTGCCTCCCGAGCGCCGGCTCGAAGGTGCATCTGGTGGGGGGGGTCGCTGGGGCCCCGCCCCGCACAAAGGTCGCCCCCCGCCCGCGCCCCGCCGCCGAGGCGGGGGTGGGGGAGCCGGCCAGCTCCGGGGAGTCTCAGAGGCACTGCACCCCGCCCTCCCTTCTCCCTGTCCTGCCCTTTTCCCTCCCCTTAGGTACAGTCCCCTTAGGTACGGTTCCTTCCCTTCTCGCGTTAATCCTGCTACAGTTTTGCGGTGGCGGTCTGATCGCCAAACCAGTTTCTTACTTATCAATATCTAGAAGACAACGCGCAGGACCCTTGCTCTCAGATACTATGGGCTGCGTCCTGGAGCCCGGGACTTGGCAGCGTCATTGTAGGGGAATTCCTAGGCTTTGTGTTCTGACACTTCCATCAGGACCCCAACCTAGCCAGCAGGGTTTCTGCCTCACCACTGGGCTAAAAGGCAACATCATGATATATGGAGAAAAGACTGAAGTTGTCAATGATTTTCTTTTGCTTGGACCCGCAATCAATACCGTTAGTACAGGCAGTCAAGAAATTAAGACATACTGACACCCAAGCAGATATATGCACACCCATGTTTATTGCAGCTTTGTTCACAATAGCAAGGAGTTGGAAACAACCTAAGTGCCCATCAACAA